TCATTTCGGGCCATTGGATTGAGAGGAAACCAACTATAAATTAGAAGGTCCCTTTCCTTAGAAATTCCACGATTTAGCTCCCAAATCCCTCCCTCCCTCCCTCCCTCCCTCATCCATCTCTCTCTCTCTCTCTCTCTCTCTCTCTCTCTCTCTCTCTCTCCGGATCTCTCCTCCTCCCGGCCACTGTCAAAATCGAAGGAAACCACCACCGTCCGCCAATCTTCGTTGCACCGAAAAACTGAGAGCATGTCCGTGGAACAGATACTTCCCTCCATTCTACGATACAGTAGTTGACAAACCCCTTTCCAACCACCAACCTCTGATCAGCCACCTACGACAAGCCAAATGCTACCGAAAGCCGCAACTAGCCGCCGATTATCGTTTCTAGAATATTTTCAGTCAGTATTTAGACAATTTCGGATCAAACTCCATCCAAGTACTATTCACACCAATCAATATCACTATTTATTGGTTAAACTTACTATTCATCGGGCTGTAGAACTGTCATTTTTCAAAAAATCCTAATATCTTATGTTTCTCACATATGTTTCAAACAAGCGAGTGTCACAACCCCAAGTTAAATCTTTTATCGTTTTCCGTGAGTGGGGGGGGGGGGGGGATGGGATTGGATACTTGCAATAAACAATATTACTTATTTAAGACTTATGGAAATCTTAATAAAACTATATCAAAACCGTGTTTAAATTATAGATATGGTGGAGTGATATTATACTAACTCTAAATGAATACCAAATACATAATTAATGTTGTGGAACTTTGCATTAAGGAATAACAGAATATTGTGTATTCGTGTAGAAAAAATCACATTATTCTTTTTACAGTAGGAATAATACTCGAACACTTGTTTCTGAATCTCTAGTTATTAATATGTTTCAAATTCATGTGAGATTTTTTTCATCAAATCGTTATCACTAAACTAAGAAACACTTATGGCTTATAACTGTTAATTCATAATGAGCAGGAGAATTATGTATAGCTCTATATTGCCCACCTATGGTTGCTAGTTGCAACCTTGATGCCCGAGTCATACAAATTGATAATTGTCTTTTATTATTTTGATGTCGTGATGATGCGTGGGAAGAGGCAGATTTGTCTAAACTAGCACGTACAGTTATAGCACCACACAGTAAATATAAAGTATGTATAGGAAACTTGAAATACCTTTATACATACAACAATTTTTTTTATCAAAAACTCAGGTATAGAAACTCAACATGATAAAGAAACATTATATATATATATATATATATATATATATATATATATATATATATATATATATATATATATATATATATATATATATGTAGGATATGAAACTATATGCATATCTAAATAATACTTTTCGTTCTCGAATATAGTTATTCTTTTGCGAGAAAGTATATTTTTGTTAAATTATTACAAAGCTATGAACTCACTAACTTTTTAGTTGATACTTCTTTAAAACCCGTATATTCTCAAAGAATTAGAGCGTTCGAAGGCTTGCTAGAAGAATGATAACGGGATTGCAACCGATTTTCGGATTTCAAAATTTCTTTTGTTGCCTGTTGTTAAGGCTTGTTTTGTACTTTTCAGTTTCCTATACCCTAGACTAGGGGATATTGCAATCTACTCTTTTCAATGAATAAAAGTAATATATTTACTACCACGTTATTGTTTGTTGATGTATACTTAATTACAGTGATCCATGATATCATCTCATCGCTGGACGTTTCCACCACCGGATGGTGTGATGACATTCGGTGCTACCATTTCACCTTCACTAAATCCATCACCTTGTTGCTCAGGTTCTTTGTATTTCTATCTAAAATAAGAACCGGTCTCCACACATTGTTCGGGCGTTCATCAACCTGTATGTCATCCAATGAAACTACTATGGAATCATCATGAAACACTATGATTTTCAGCCAATTTTTTTTAGTTTTAAAAGAATTATTTAACATAATACATTAGCGAAAGTATTCTTTTGACTTTTTTGAAAACATCACCAATTTTACATTAATTACCAAAACAAGTTCATCAAAATAAAATTTCTCAAAAAGCCACACCAAAGTATGATCTCAAAGCCAAATGTAATGAAAACTCAACAACATGTCGAAAATGGTATCATCTCTAAATAACACAAATACAACTGCCTCAAAAGATCCTAACCTCCAAGCCATTAAAATCAAGCTACATGTACCAATTTATGCCAAAACAACAAACAAGAAAGAAGTTACAACATCAGCACATTAAGTTATTCCAAATACATGAATAAAAAATAAACATACTTCATACAAATAGTTTAGTCATGCACACAATTCAACATACATCAGTTTTTATTAACATATAATGCATATATTAATTCGGACATTCTTATCATTGCAGTAAATAATAACTATTATATTCATCTCTATAATTACTTTTAATGTCCCTCACAACATGGATCTAATACATAACTAACATCACCTAATGAAAGACCATGTTCGCTACTAACATGACATGGCGATCATGTGCACCAAATGGGGTGCGACTCCCACCTGTAACTCTTCCCTTGGTTATATGTGTTCACTACTCCAAATTTCCATGTATGTACATAATGTTTAGTCATTATAGGGTGGTCAAATGGTACTTCCAAACGCATACCTACACCTAACGTGATGCATGATTCGACATCTCCAAGTAGCCAACATTACTCAGGTTCTCGTACACCAAGTGCACTAGTACCATGTTTCGAAATCGTTACCTAGAAAACCATTCGACATCGACATGTCTTAATCTCTTTTCATCCAATCATATCCTTCCACCGTGATATCCCATAGTGTACGTACCTATGTATAGGTTTGTACCCTCTTACTCCGTTATATGTATTTCTTTTTAATTTTAAATAAATTTAATACTTACCTAATCCAATTACATGGGGAATACACACACCTCACCAATAATCATTATGTAGTCATGCTAGTTTATTATTATTAATTCAATACATATTACATTTATTTTATATATCAAAGGTCCAGTATCAAAAGTACAACATACCATCGAACTGTAGCTTAGTGAAATACACCTTTTAGAAACTGACTTCTAATATGCGTTTCCTAGTTTCATTCAAGTGTGAAAAAAAAAAAGAAATATAACAAGAAAAAATCATCACCTTTTAACATCATGAATAACCTCACCACTAAGATGAACCTAAAACTCTCTTTTGTACCAAATAGCAAATTTAATGATTCTCTCATATCAAAAGTTTCCTAAGTCATTTGTTTAGACAATAACCACTTATTTTCAGCTAGCATACATTTCATATAATCAACACATACCATTACTTAAAACCAATTAGAAGAATCATACATACCATAGCTTGAAATTTTTCGTACTTGTGCTTAAACAATTACAAGAAATTGACTCGCCTTTTTCAGAAAACACATTTTCCACACTTCAATTCTAGTAGTACTTGAAATATCAAGTTGTCCCCTAATACAAAACAAATAAGTAGATTACTATAAGTCTACAAGATCAAAGATATCTATCATATACCCAAAACATGTAAACTAGTTATTAGGCTAAATTATCGGATTTTGACCCAAAAACAGCCTTTTCAAAACCACTTTAGAACAACCAAAGGTTGCAAACGTTATAACCCTCTTTCATATTGTAGTATTTTGGACTCTTTAATTTTTAGAATAGTGCTCACATGTGTACATAGTAATTTTCTAGAATTTTCTACGAATTTTACAAAGGTGCATATTGTGACATCCCCTAATTTCTCGGCTAGAAAATATCGATTTAATTTATGCTTGTTATAAATCAAATCAGAGAAATCTTTATAAAAGATATTGCGGAATTGGTCCCCAAAACAAAATATGATAAAAGTTTGTCAAAACCTTTCTTTAAGAAATATATCATTTCCTTTTATATCAAAACCTCGGGATGTCATGTTCCGATTAAGTTCAAAAGCATAAACAAGACATTATAAGCCTTACGACAGTTATTTGTAACTACTGGCCTAGAATCCAAAATTCCCTCATCATCATCCGACTATGCTCGGGGTCCTCTACCTGTAATAAAAACAACTGAGTGGGTCAGGCCTAGAAGCCTAGTGAGCATATAGGGTTTTCAACCCAAAATACATAAATTTATTATGTTTAAACATCAATCAATCAACCGAATTACCCCAAACCCCATTATTTTATTTATTTCTTAAGGGTTTACCCTGAGAATCAACTATCACCCCTTCCTAAGGATTCATCCTAAGGAATAGACACAAAGTCACCTCGTGACCGGGGGTTATACAACGGGCACTAATTCCATAGCTGCCAAGGTTTATTCAACATGTGCTAAGTCCATAGCTCTCATTTATCGATAGGATTATTTACAGATATTCTATCCTGCAAAACATGTCAATGGGTTTTTAGAGTACAACAAATGAACATATAGTTCATTACACATACAGGTTGCGGGCCTGCTAGTGTTCCATAGACTATCTAGAATAGTCCATGGTTGTCATCCATACTATGCGGAATGACGGTAGCCAACATTTTGGGTAAGTGATTCTCTCAAATTTCACCACTCTCCCTCAACTCATGATCAATATTATTGATCATCTCCTTTATCCAACTCACCTTTCATCATATCCATTTATTCATCTACCCATGTGTTACCTAACTTTTTTCGTAGATAAAAATACATATATAGTTTAAATTATTTAAAAACATGTATGAATATTTCCTTCAGCACCCATCTCAAATGAACAAACAATATATATTCACACAACACGTATTTTATGTAAAATACTTCATATCTATGTGTACGGTGGAAGTAACTACACACTCACTT